CTTCTGCAGTCTGTAAAGAGAGAGGATGGTGGACATCAGCCCCGCACAAAGAGCCAGCTTTTAAAATGGCAAGAATGTGAATACAGGGGTCAAATACGGACACAAAACCGTTCTGTTGAGTCCCGGGGGTGGGACGGGATGGAAGTAGCGCGATGTTTCATGAATCAAAAAACTGACTTCGGCAGCGTCGGGATGAACAGACCGACTACTCAGTTTAGCAAAAGAGCTTCATTCAGACATAAGCATGGAAGACAAAACTCTGTCATTTTATTAGTCGCCCCAAGGCATGGAATGAATGTTTCACCTTCTGCACAAAAGCTGTATCAACTTGCTCGAGTCTCTTTAACCTCACACACAGTCAAAGGCAGCAAAGGTTTGATTCAATATGAACCTCCTGCCTTTCCAGGAAACTCGCATAAATATGCAGAAACTATGACTTAATGAGAGTACAGGAATAAAAATCAGGGTTTCACCACTGACCCCCTTTTTGTGGGCCAATGGAGGGGGGTGCTGCTGGTACTCCCATGGGGTTGTACGCTCGGCTGTCAGTAGCGATACTTGTCTTTATCCAATTTAAAAATTAGGAGAAACAACTCCATTAAGCATAATTAATAAAACAAAAGTGGCATTAGCACCCATCCTGTGGCCTCCCACTTATCTACATGTAGCCATTTGTGGGATTTCTTGCTTATTCTCACAATCATTATCATCACAGTTAATGGAGACCACTCACTGGATTCATTAAAACACAGCAATGACTCTAATGGAGAATCTGAACAAAGATGCAGCCCCTGTTGCAGATGGGTGTGGCAGCAGGCTTTTCATATGGAGGAGAGCTTCCCCTCCCTCCTCCCCCTCCTCCTCCAGGTTGCACATGTGAAGTGCCGGGACCGGCAGCAGCGACTCCATTCCCTCTCGGAGGGGTGTGTGCTGTTCCATATTAATGACAAAGAGCGGTGCGGGAGCAGAAAGTCACTATCATACACCCATTTGTTTAAAAAGAGCCAGCTTCACAATACAGTCGGCGGGAGTCCACAGGAATCCAGTGAAAGCTGGGAGATACGTCAATGACAAAAGACAGAAGCAACCTCACTTTTTTGTCCGTGAAACAAGGGCTGCCCAATTCCACAACGCCATTTGTCTTTAACCTAAACCAAGAGCAGCTTCATGCATTTCAATGGGAGTGTTCCTGCATGGAGAAGAAGGAACACAACTGCAGAGCACAGCCATCTCTCTCCTGTTGTTAAGTCTTTCTTTAAAGTGTAGACAATAGATCTCCTGGTCCCTCCCCTTGGATAACAAATGAACCATTATTTTTGCAAGGCAGGGCAGCGAACCTGCTGGAAAGTCGGGAAATTGTGGAGATAAAACTGAGATGTTATAGGATTTAATGATGGGACACTATAGAAATGCACAGAAAAAGTCAATGGTGTGCCAAATTCTAATCATCTTTCTCCACCTGATCAAGAAACGGGAGGCTGACTAGGCAGTTTCAGCTGAGATTGTTAAAAATTAAAAACATATCTTTCAGACTGTGCCTCTGAAAGTGGGTCGAGCCAATCACCAAAGTGTAATTAAGATTCACTTGCTGCAGTTTTACTGATAATCCTGTGTGTAAAACTGTCACGGGCGAACAAAAGACCCTCTTCCTCACTGAGTCATCGCCTCAGAGTGATTACTTTTGCCACCCATAACACTTCATTTTCTGATGGTGAAGATGCTCCTCCGGCGGGGGGAGGGGGGATTGCTCTCGTGACATGTAGGAACCCAGCATGTTGGTGCGGCGGGCTCATATTTCCTCACCAGCATCCTGCTAATCTAATCCAAAGGCGACACGGAAGAAAGGAGTCTAAAAATATACTTCTAGTGAGCAATGAGTGAGTAAAGTTTTTTAGCTCAACATGAGTGATGGGAACAAGCTGTTCACCCAACAACTGCACACACAAACAATGAATCACAAACCCTCCCCCATATCTTCACAGCCCCAAAAAGCCAACACCCCTCCACCTGTTCGGTGTCCTGCTTTAGGGGGTGAGGATGGGGGGGGGCAATACAAGCATGAGTGCACTCGTAATGTAAGGGAGGGGGGACCAAAAGGACATCAAATCTGTCCAAGCTGAGTTGAACTACAGTTTGGATGTACCTAGAGTTGGACATGTGCAGTATAAACCAGCAGACAGCAGCCAGCGTGCCATATGGTGGGGATGCACATGTTTTAAGCATCAACTCTCCAGGGACGAGATGATGCACCAGCCTGATTTTTCTTTTAGAAACCGTGGTCTCCGAAGCTTCTTTCTTTCAGAGAAGTAGAGCAGGTGCACGATTTGCTCTAGCGCGAGCTTCCCAAGTTAAAGACGTGCAGACAAACCCGCTCCATCAAGGCTCGTGCAACATCCACATCTTTGTTTCATCAGAAGCTATTTTCAGTTTTACACCCTTCTTCCGACTTCAAAACCAAAACGGCCCCTGATGGTGGTTCAAACCCGCGTCCTGGTTGTAAAGTGCCGCTGCCAGGGGCGATGGTAGGAATCCCAGACCTCCTGATGGGAATTGACAACGGGGCCCCCGCCCAAATGCTGCTTTAATTTACAGTACGACCTCTCCTGCCTGAACAGGCCGCAGATTTTGAAAAGGAAGCCTCCCCCTCTCCTCTCCACCAGCAGCACCTCTGCCTTCAGCTCATTTCTTATTCCGATCAAGGCCAGTGAAGCACAAGGTGCACACAAATAAGCACAAACACACACCTCATTCTCTGCAGCGAACATCTGTCTCCTTCTTATATCTCACTAGCTCTTGTGCTTCTGTGGAGAGTAATAGCGTCTCTCTCACTTCTTTTTTTTAATCCTAAACACAAATGCACTAACTGTGTGAAAGTAGAAAAGGCTCCACTTCACTTTCTCGCTCCACACAAAGGACCAAGAGCCCTTTAGAGCCTTTTGAGAGACATTAGGAGCCAAATTTGGGTTAAGCATCCAGCAGGATAATAACTTGTACAGATATCACATTTGGGAGCCTTTTAAGTATTCCTATTATAACAAGCAAGAGAAGCAGTGGATTAATAGGAAAGCTGTTCCCTTTGTCAGATTACACAAGAATTGCAGCTCATTTATTCTCTTAAATTTAGCAGAAATTTTGCGATTTCAGTCTGTAATTCACACTTCTGTCAAGCAGTCCACGTTTTCCCATTTACAGAAGCAATCGACACATCTGAAGAGTCTGAAGGGCTGAAAAAAAAATTGTTTTTAAATGAAGTAGAGATGCCGGGCTTCCATTCAAAGTCATGATTTGGTTGAGTTGCCACACTTCTTTTTCATGGCTGCCTCTGAATTTTGCATGAAGGTGCATAATACTCACGAGTCACAAAAGAAATCTCCTTTCAAAGGAGCAAAAGTAGAAGAAAACAAGCGGTTTTCAAACCAGAAGGGATGTGCACAAGTGCACAAATGGATAGTAGTGCAAAAAAGTGCACACACACACACACACGCATGGAGAGAGATAGGCATAACCCAAACATGCAATTAAAGCCATTCTTTCCTCTTATCCTGAGAATCAACATCACAGCATCCACAAGACAAGTCCCAGCATAACCTAGTTAGAGATGAAAGAGTGAATCACTCTCAGGTGAAATTAAGTGACCTCCCCCCACACACAGTCCAACCCCCACCTCAAAGAGATTAGTCCATTAGCAAAAAGGAGAGCCCCACTTGCCCGACAAGTAAGACCAGCTGTGACAGCGAGCGCTGTCTGTCTGTTCAGGGAGGGGGTGATGGGGTGGGTCAGCGTCAGTGGGATGACCAAAAAAAAAAAAGTATTTCCTGCAGAAGTGAGCATGATTGCAGGTTTGATCATCTTAAAAAATAAAAAGAACAAACACAATCCGTCATTTTTTACGATCCCAAAACTTGAAAACAATCTCCCTCAGACAGACTCCATCAGGAGTTCACCTTTATTCCACAAGCGAACACACGTTTCGTTCACCACTGATCCTCTCATCACTGCTGCAGTGGGTTAAAAAAAACACCTTTAAGGGGATTTCCTCCCAAATCAAACCACCTGAGCTTGACTGTGAGGTGCTGCACGGTGTTAATTCCCAACAACAGGCACCGCTGCTGTGTGACGAGGTGAAGGGGAGCACAGTGGGATCAGCTTCCTTATCCCAGGAAGCACTCCCAGCTTATGGGTCTGCTTACAGCCTGGATGAGTTATGTGGACACATGTGGAGGCTGCTACCTGTTGACCCGACGCAGGAGACAGAGAGACAGAGTATGGAAATCTACAAAGAGCCTGACCTCATCCCCACAAATGCAAAACATGTGCAAAACACACACACACACACACCCTTTGTCCAGGTTTCAATCTCCTTGTCTTACAGAAACTCATTAGAATAAAAATACTGATGTTGCAAGTTGCATGCAGCCGAAACCCCAGAAGATTCCTGATATTTGGGCACACAGTTGTGCAATCCATTACCACCTATGTGTAATTACCAGACAGAGCCAGTGAGGAATGCTTCCCTCACACACAGTAATTATCATAAATCATACAGGAAAGCAGCATCATCCCTCTGCTCAACACCCTGCTTGTTAACAAGGACAGAAAACGTGAAGAAAAATGACTCATGGTTATGACATCATGGCAGGAGCACATGTGATGCCTGAATGATGACCACCACACCGTGGCACAATGGACTCACAATCACTCCACGCGCAGGAAAAGTCACTTTCATACAAGTTTTATTTATAAATGTAGTTTTAATTACTCGTTTATAACAGTAGGAGTTCATATAAAAGGTGGAAGTTTAACTCAAATGCATGCAGGGCAGATTTGAGGACTACGATTTTTTTAAGATTGCGCTAATTTATGAGTAGAATCGGACAGTTAGGATAATCAGATTTTGGGAGTTTTAAGAGCACCTTGGGTGCTGAAGTCGTGTGTTTTACACTTCCGGTTGATTTTATGTCATTTTTTTGGGGAAAAAGAGAGAAATAAATTGTGCTTACCTTTGCAGAGGAGGGAAGCGGCGAGGAGGGCGGACAACAAGTGCATCCTCTCGACTCTCAGATCCTCAGTCAGCGCGGTTTGCTTCACAGCTTTCTCAAAACCCACTTGAGAGGTTGTTTTGGTGTTTGTTTTTGAAAAAGGCAGGTGGAATAAATCAAGGTGTCCTCCTCTACGTGTTCAACAGAAGCTCGGTTCAGGCTTGGCTGCTCTCCCAACGTGGCATGTGCTCGGGCTCACTTCGGCTCTGTTGGAACAGGTAATTTGCGGAGGGGGGCGCGCGCAGTCGAGCGCGAGAGCGAGGGAGACCGAGTACAGCCCCGCCCCCACATCCAAGCCTCCTCCTCCTCTCCCTTTTCCTAGTGCACCCCCTTTCTTTAAAAGACCCTCACACACACACACACACACACACACACACACACACACACACACACACACACACACACACACACACACACACACACACACACACACACACACACACACACACACACACACACACACACACACACACACACACACACACACTTGTATTTAAATATTTTTGGTGACCTCGATTAAACACGTTGCCACTTCTGCTACCTGGTCTCTGTACTCTTTTGCTCTCTCTCTCTCTCTCTCTCTCTCTCTCTCTCTCTCTCTCTCTCTCTCGCTCTCTCTCTCTCTCTCTCTCTCTCTCTCTCTCTCTCTCTCTCTCTCTCTCTCTCTCTCTCTCTCTCGCTCTCTCTCTCTCTCTCTCTCTCTCTCTCTCTCTCTCTCGCTCTCTCTCGCTCTCTCTCTCGCTCTCTCTCTCTCTCTCAATCTGGAAAAACTAACAATGGAAGGGGGCTTCTGAGTGACATGCGGCGGCTCGTGCACTGCCAGTGATTCCCTAATCAAACTGTTTCGGTCATTGGACTGACTCAGGGGGAATTCATTGAGTTATATCTACTGAACCTAACCTAAACTAAAAGTTAATTCACACCAAACCAAGTTTTAGGGTGCTCCATGTTGTGTGGACCAGCAAAATGACCCCACAATGTGGAAATGCCCACACACAACATATTAAAGTTAAAACTTGTCCACTTAAACATATAAAGACAAGTACACACACACACACACACACACACACACACACACACACACACACACACACACACACACACACACACACAACTCCAAAGAAACTTCCATAAGACCTCTCAGCTACATTTAAAGGCACCAAACTGTTATTTAATGGCAGCAAGATGTTCTCCACCTATCTGACAATCTCCTGACTGATTACCCCACCTGTTCACGAAAGAAGAAAAATGGCAAGGTGACATCTCCGCATTTCAGCACCACACGAAATCCTAAAGCTCTCCTTCTCGAAGAAGAAAACCAGTCAAATATTTCAGCATTTAGTGATTTTTATACCCACGACTGATTACTATTATTAAGGTAACGGTAGATTTCTTTTGTCACATGTTTCAAATAAAAAAAAACCTGATGTAAGTACAAGTAATAGTTCTTGCCTTTTTTTTTTGCCATTTTGCAGAACTTTTAAGGATTTCAAATTCATTCTACAAAAAAAGTCAAACAGAAGTGACAAATCTGCAGCAGTGAATTAAAATTGAGACAAAACAAGATTGTTTTCTGACAACTGATGAAACATTATTTTTAAAGGGATGTTTTCTGCCATTTTGAAGTTTCTGTGTGGAAGTTGCAACAAATTTCTTGTCCCCAAATAGCATTTGTTCAGAGAAAAAAGTTTACATTCAAAAGGACTGATATGCTAATAGCTAGTCAGAATGCAGCTGAAACCATGCGTATTGCTTCCGTCTTAAAGTATGTGTCTCATGCAACGTAATTTCATAAAACTTTATTGGGCCATGGTTTGGACGGTACACTGTCATTTATGTGGAATTTTATGAAATCTTATCAGCGAAAATATCACTGGCAGCAGCAAAATGCAGCACTTCTGGAACATCCAGGGATCCATTTCTGACCAAGTAAACATGTAATATAAAGCTGATGGGGTACAAGGGTTAATAAAATCATGTTTGCAAGTACCAGTCGATTTTGAAGATGCGTTGTTTTAAAGTAACACTAGACAGTTTCTTGCTCCTCCCCCCTACTGGTTGAAAGTGGAATTACAACCTTGTTGCAGCTTGCTGTAGCGGGCGCTAACAATGAGCTAACACTAACATGAAGCAAATAATACTAAAATAAACTGCAAAGTAAAAAGATTCACACTGTTGGATAAATACAATTAGTTTTACCTGCAAGTCCAAAAGCAACAAAGCCAGGTCACCATCAGTCTGTGATTTTTGTAGCTTCCTTTAGCTCCTCATTAGTCCCAAACTTTTACTCCCAGGCTGCGCCATCTTTTGCAACTTTTGCTTACCGCAATGGCAGAGTTTTTTAAACTCAAATCAAGAAAATCTGGATCATATTTAAGCATATTTACATTATTTTAGTAGTGTTTTTTTTTCTATAGAACAATTGTTTTCCTCTTAGCATAAAAATAAGATAAAATGTCTAAAAACTAGGCTTTTTTTGGCTTTAATAGAAATCAGTTTTTGCAGTGTCGAAAACGACTGTTCAGCCTGCATGTGAAACTCAGAATGACTGAGTGCATTAAAAAAACTGTGTTTTTCACCAGTTTTACAATACACAGTCATTTGTAGTAAATCTTTTTTTTTTTGGCATATGGAAAAATTCCTAGCAGCTGCAAAACGAAGCATTTCTGGTGCATCTAATGGGCTCGACAGACGGGAGGCGACATCGCCTCTCCTCCATTTATTTTCAATGAGACATGCGCGAAAAGCGATAATCGCGGGTCTCCCTCCTACTAAGCGAAACGTGAAAAACGTGCGTGTGAAATTTTGCGCTCGTGCACGTGTCGTGCACAGGCGACCCAGCGACGCGATCCCAGAAAATTGAAACATTTTCAACTTTTCATCGCTGTTGCTCGGACGAGGACCAATCAACGGAGGTTTCATTCACTGACCAATGAGCGGACAGGACGCTCCGTATACCTCCGAGCAAACATGAAGGAGAAGTTGATTATTATTATGTTTTATAGTAAAATCAGAAGTAAGATTTCACATAACTCTAGCAGCACCTTGTGAAACATCATATCTACCACTTTATTAACTCTGAACCACTTAAATAACCTTAAATCCCTCCAACCTGACACAGCCAAGCAAAACAACGGAAGTTTCAATTTCGCCATGGAACAGAACGCGTAGACGGCTTTGCCGCTGGCCGCTGCCGCGGATCGCCTCCCGTGTGTCAGGTAATAAAAGCGACAGCGACAAATTTCGCTGATCTCAGTCGTTTGTCGCCTCCCGTGTGTCGAGCCCATAAGAGTAAAATGTTGAGCCAAATTTCATAAAACCACTGCTGACATGACTGTGTAATGCTAAAGCAACGGGGATGTAAAGGTTTATAAAGTAACTGTCACTGAAGATTTAAGCAGTCGTTGGAGCTGGAACTGTCCACCAAGCTGGTGGTTAGCTCATCAGTCGTGTGGGATGTAAACATAATTTCTCCAAAAGGGAGCTATCCACTACAGGTAAGACTGTTACTCTACATTTACTCAAGTCAAACTATCCTTTTAAACATTTAGTGTTAGCAGCTGACTCACTCGTATAAAATCAGTAATGAAACACGTCAAATTTGCTCAGAGTCCACGTTTATGTAAATCAGATGCTAAATTTGTGTTTCCAAACTCTCACCGACTCTTCCAGATGCATGAACACGCTCTCACGCTGAGACCTATTTTTCAATCAACCCCCATCTTGGAGGCTGTTAGTGCATCGCCCTGCTCCGTGCCCCACAGGCAGCGAACAGAAGGCCGCTGGTAAAGCAGCCCGTGCAGGACGGTTAATTAGAATCAAGTAGAAATGTCCACATAAATAATGTAGCTGTGATTAATTATTGAATTCCTTGCTCACATTATCTCCTTATTTTTCAATTATTTCACCGTGCATTCAAGAGCAGGATGCATAACAGTAACGTCGTAACGAGATTTAATATTTTCTTTCATTTCTCTGAACATGCATGCTGGATTTTTCTTCCTCGGCTTCTTGTGTGACTGTTTGCCGCTGCTCTTGCAGACATGAAACACTCTAAAGCTGGCGACAGTTTCCTAGTCCATTTCAGGAGTTGGTGAAAAAAAAAACCATCAGAGCACGTAAAATGTCATTAAAACCAAACTTACTGCAAATAACGCGATCCTCTGCTATGCTGTAGCTGCGTGACCGGGCTTGTCTGATCACAAAATGTACACGTGTGTGTGTGTTTGCTGGAGTCTGTGTCGGGCTGGAGGAGAGATCTGTTTGGGCGGAGGAGTATTCCTCACCCCGGGTGTGAAATTCATGTAAGCTCTGTGATGGTTTGTGCAAATGGAGTGAAGGCACAGGCTGTGAAAGCCTAATGCAATTTGATTAGAAGTTAACCACAAAGCAATATTTTTCCTGCCTCAGTGCGAAGAGAGGAGACAAAAAGAACTATTTGCTTTTTCTGTGTGTGTGTGTGTGTGTGTGTGTGTGTGTGTGTGTGTGTGTGTGTGTGTGTGTGTATGCATGGGTAAATGAGAGTGACTGCAGCGTTGTGTTCAATTACCAAACAATAACATCTCTGTCATAATTGGGATTTCAGGTGAGGCCGCTCAAGGTCTAAATGTTGAAAAGACGAACGAGCAGCGATGAGTCAGAGCTCCAACTTCACGTTACGCTTTTCTTTCTTTTCCTATTCTCTGTTGAATGAGCGCAGCTGAAGTTTGGGTTGATTTTGTATTCACTGGAGTGCGTTTTCAGTCAGTCCCCATGACTCTGGAGGGAGATTACACACGGAATAATGAATTACAACATTGCATGTCACAGTGGAGAAACTGTACCAGCTCTTGCTGTCTTTTGTTTGATGAAAGAACGCGTGCTCCTATTTTGACATTTTGTGAGACATCTCGTGGCACCGCTCCTGCTATGAGCACCGAAACAAACAACCGTGTGTTGCTGAGGACTCGGCTGAGGAAAGTACACATTTCTGACATTCAGGGGAGGCTGCAGACAGAAAATCCTTTCCCTTCTTCCTCCTCTGGCTGACGTTATAGATCCACACTAATTACCAAAGGTTAAAAAAAATAATTACTTTGTTGGTGTGACTAAAGTGAACAGGACCTGCTGGTGCAGTTTGGATTACACGCCCAACAGGATGCTTCTCATTTGTAGTCCTAGTAGTCATCCCCTTTTCTTTTGCATTCCTTCATTTTCTCCATTGAAGCTGCAGAGAATCCGGCTCCTCTCCAAGCTTTTTGACAG